GGGGCGGGGGTGGCGAGGCCCGGGAGCCTAAGGAGAGGGCTGGAGGAGTGGTCCGCGCCAGGCAGAGGGCGGCTGGAACGGGGAACGAAGTGACGGTTGTACGATTTAAAGCAGCGAGGAAGGGGGTCAGAGGACGCGACGTCGAGGGGTGGGGGCGAGACGAGGGACAGGGAGGCGCGGAGACACCTTTCAACCGGACGTCTCGAAGCACTCTCTCCACTTTATGGATGAGAAAACTGAGTCATAAAGCGGGGAGATGGCGAGTAAAGGTCAAACGACAGCTCGCTCCCCTCGGCTCAGGTCCCGGGTGGGACAAGCCCACCGAAAGTGACCCAGCTGGGAGGTGATCATGAGCCAGGGGGTGGAGCGACGCGGCGGGACCCTAGTTTCCGAAAAGCGCACACCGCACCCGCCGGGAAGAGAAAAGGAAAAGGCGACCATTATTTCAGTCGTATAACGCTGCCTCCCCACCCCCTCTCCCCTCTTAGGTGGTGATCAGTAATTTTCCAGCCGGGAAATGTTTTCGCCCTCATCTTCTCTGCAAACAGTATTTTTTTTTTTTTTTTTTTTTTTTAACGTGAGTGTGGTGTTCGGTATCACTTGCTAAACGTGGGCTGACGAGGTGTTTACTTTGGATCCAGGCGCGCGGCGCGGGGCTCCGCCCGCCCCCTCCACCGAGCCCCCTCTGCCGTAAATGCTAACGGCTGCCTCTTTCGGCCTGTGATAGCCCGGGAAAGAAGAGGGAGCAGGGGGACTGGGAAAAGCGGCGGAAGCTCCAGCACCCGGCACAGCGTGCGCTCACCTCTGTTGGCTTCTCGTTGCCTCGTACTTCGTTGTTGTCACCTGTTTGTTTGAATCCTGCGATTCTGGTACCTATTAGGTTTCCTCAGGATATTTGTTATCCCTGATTTTTCCACTCCTCGCCGACCACAGAAGCATTCTTGGAATGCATCTTGCCCCGAATGAATCGACTCGGCCCTCCCTGCCAACGCCAGGAATCCCTCTAAGGTCCAGGGAGTTGGACGCCCTTGAGTGTGACTTCCATCCTCTTGCTCCTCTCTGGCCAAGGGCTTTGCGGGCCGAGGGGAGGACTTTGGCAGGGAAATCGAGGCCCTCCCTCCCTTCGTCTCCAGGGGCTTAACCCCACCCCATAGGACCAGGCCAGTTCACTCCTTGAAAATACTGCCCTTTTCAAACGGAAGAACTAAGAAAGGAAGGCACCTGCGCCTCCTCTCACCATGCCTTTCAATGTAATGGCAGAAACTTCTTGGGGTGGTAGGATTTGAAGGTTGCCTGGAAAAGTTAGCCACTTTGTTCATAGACCGGGTCCCTAAGTCCTGTTGAACTTGGATTGGCAACCATCCCCCTCAGGATGTCAACATTAAGCCATTAAGCCGGGACTTGGAGTTTAGGAATTAGGTAGCCAGTGCACCAGATTATTTCTTCTTTGCTTTTATTTAAGACTGTAGCCCTTCCCCCCCCCCCAAAAATCTAACCATAACCACCACAATGAAAAAACACTATTGCACAGATGAATTGGAAAGTCACTATTATTATGTCATATAATCAACACAAGATTCTGAAACTCAGTTGAAAAAGATGAAGCTGTCTTTTCCAAACTGGCTTCTGAAGTGTAAAAGTCAGGCAACTATCTGCCTTCGTGGCAGGCAACTATCTGGTTATTTCTCTGATTGCGTCATAGAAGGAAATCTCTACATTCACCCCAGATTTCTAAAAGAGGCAAGGAACTTCAAGTTCACAAATCATTTCCTTTAAAGGCAGGTGCCCAATGTGACAACAGGGTTATGACCCTCCCTCTCTTCAGAACAGGTAGGGCCAGAAGAGTTAAATCCCTGCCCTATGTAATTTATAAACATGAGGCTGAGTAAACCTTTGATGACTAAATTGCACTCAATAATAATAGAAGACACCCTTTAAAGGAGAATTAAACACTTACTAGTGACTTTATTTAACCAAACTGATATTATAAGTTTTATGAAATGAAAGTTAATTATTAATGTCCTCGGAGTTATAAAAAATATATATATTTTTCAACACAAATGACATTAGTTGGCAGAAGATGTGATGAACACCATCAGTGCTAGAGGATTAATGTGGAGCCGGGGAGGGGTGTGATGGATTGAAGAGACCGCATTCGTGTTGCAAGTGAAGGACTCTGCATCTGTAATCTGTAACTAGGCATGAAGTCTAGACACATAGAACACTCTAGGGACCCAGCTGCACCCTGGCCTGGGTGTTTGTGTATAACTGCTGCAGGCCAGCCTCAGCAACATAGTGAGATCTCGTCTCTATTTTTAAAAAATTAGGCCAAGCACCCGTGGCTCGACCTGTAATCCCAGCACTTTGGGAGGCAGAGGCGAGAGGATTGCCTGAGCCCAGGGGTTCAAGACCAGCCTGGGCAACTTGGTGAAACCTCGTCTCTACGATAAATCACAAAAGCTAGCTGGACGTGGTGGAGTGTGTCTGAAGTTCTAGCTACTTGCACGGCTGAGGCAGAAGGATCACCTAAGCCCAGCAGGTCGAGGCTGTGGTGGCTGTGAGCGTGCCACTGCATTCCAGTCTGGGTGACAAGAGTGAGACTCCAACTCAAAAAAAAAAAAAAATAGCCGGATATGGTGGCACGCCTATAGTCCCAGCTACTCAAGATGCTGAGGCAGAAGGATCACTTGCACCCAGGTCGAGGCTGGGGTGAGCCGTGATCATGCCATTGCACTCCAGCCTGGGTGACTTATTTATAAAAAATAAGATAAAATAGCTGCTGCAACATTCATGCAAAGCTGCTTTTCAAGAAAGTGAAAGTAAGAGATGACTTTAAATGCCCAAACTGTTTTGAAAATTAACTCCCTGCTAATAATTGAGAGGGGCTTGCAAGTTTCACAAAGTATCAGAGCTTTTCTCCCATGTTCTTGTGAACTGCAGCCTCTTTTCCACCTCAGTAGTGTGAAACGAAAAAGTGGGTTTTGATGTTTTTTTTCATCTGACTCTGCTGCTTTCTAACTGGGCAAGTTACTGACCTCACTTTGTTTCCTCTTCTGTAAAATGGGGATATTAATAGTGTCTACTTAGAGTGATGAGGATTAAATTAGATTATCTAAAGTATTCAGCACAGGATTTGACACTCAATACATGATAGCTACTAAGGCTGGTCTCAGTGGCTCAAGCCTGTAATCCTAGTGCTTTGGGAGGGTAAAACAGGAGAATCCCTTGAGACTAGGAGTTTGAGACAAGTCTGGCCAACACAGAGACCTTGTCTCTGAAAAAAAAAATTATGCCATTGCCTTGCTAGACTCTAGTGTGGCTGTGTGCTTTTGTTGTTGCTGTTGTTTTTTAGGGTTTTTTTTTAGTTGGAGTCTTACTCTGTTGCCTAGGCTGGAGGGCAGTGGCATGCTCTCGGCCACCGCAGCCTCAACCTATTGGGCTCAGGTGATCCTTCTGCCTCAGCCTTCCAAGTAGATGGAATTACACCACCCACCACACCCAACTATTTTTTTGATTTATTGTAAAGATGAGATCTCACCAAGTTGCCCAGGCTGGGCACGTACCACCACACCCAGCTATTTTTTTGATTTATTGTAAAGATGAGATCTCACCAAGTTGCCCAGGCTGGTCTCAAACTCATGGATTCAGGCAGTTCTCTCACCTCAGCTCCCAAAATGCTGGGATTTTAGGCATGAGCCACTGCACCTGACCTCCACGTGCTCTTTGAGCTGTGGCTGTCGCCATGCTTTCTGGCTTTGGCCCTCTCCCTCACCTTGGGGAGGTGAATCCTCTCTCTCTCTCTCTCTCTAATTTACTTTTAAATAAATTATATTTTCTTTTTTTGGGGGGGGCAGGGTTTGAGTTGGAGTCTCACTCTGCCGCCAGACTGGAGTGCAGTGGCCGCTCCCGGCCACCGCAGCTTCGCCTGCTGGGATCTGGCAATCCTTCCACCTCAGCTACCTTTCAAGTCATCGATATTCAGTCATATCTGCTTCATACTATAAGCCCCAAACTCAAAGCAAGGAGGTTTCTAGAATTTTTCCTCCAATCCTTTTCTCCAATGGGTGTGGAGCTGTAAAAGCACAATCCCTTACATGCTCAATTATTATGGAATAATTTACCTGTAGGAGACATTGATTTTCCCAGCAAAATCCTGATCTTCAAAAATTTTTGTTTTTATGGGGGGTACAGCCACTTAAATATAGTTATTATAG